GCAAAGCCTATTGAAAATCCTGAGTCCAAGAAGAGAAAAAGAGCACCAAAAAAGAAAAAGGAACAGCAAAACATTCAAATTAAATTTGTTATGCCAACTTTTGAAGTGGTCGCAAAGAAGCGACGGAAATGACACTGGGTTTGGTAGAAAACTATCTAATTTATAGCAGTTTTGAGGAAGGTAGGAAGTTATATTTAGCATATGTGTATTGTTACATATTATTGATAACACATATAATAATCTTGTGGAGTTTGTGTACCGGACATGGTCATGACTTGCTACAAAACATTACTTCATCTTAAACTCCGTTTTCTCAAAACGAAAGATATATCTCTGATTAACTTTGTGGAAAGTCTAAAATGAAGAGGATTTAATGTTTTGCCTTCATTTTTGGACTGTAGGTGTATCTTATGGCCCTTTATGGATTAAGTAGAAAGTTTTTTAAAATAGGCGGTTTTGGGTTAGTTACCATGGAAACAGTGTTTTTTCAGCTTTCGGACATAACTATTTGGTCAAATAAAATTATGTCTACTTAACCCATACATTGGGACATAAGAACTAACCATACAAAATTTGTACTTGATATCTCTTTTCCTTCTGGAGATATTGTTTCCGCAAATCCATGTATATACCGTAATTTTGTGTTGTTGCCATGGAAACTATCAAGTGCAGTTGACCATATATGGTCTCAAAATTTGTATACTAATTAGATCTTGCTTTGTGCCAAATTTTATGATAATTGATTAAATTGTTATTAAACTAGAGCAAAAATACTGTTTTAGAGAATTTAGGATAGACTACCACCGTATAAGGAGAAATGTTTTGGAGTTTCAAACTGTCCGTAAATGTTCTACACAGCGAGATAATAAAGGATTTCTACCCTTCAATTCCAATAACAGTAAAAATTTCGTATTAAAACATGAAGTTAAATTAACTGTTGAAATTTTAGCTGCCAAAATTTTTATTAAAAGTTTACTCGAAAGTAATACTATTTTTTAATTGCTTTTTATATAAAAAAGAGAAAACGTGACTCGTGCTTCTATTTTGTAATAGTACAAAATCTTCCTAACATGTACTCAGTGACGTCATGCATCTCTATCTTGATTACAATTATTCAGCATTTGCAGCATTATACAGTATAGATGTGTTTGTGTGGTTTTTAGTTAGACCGCGTCTCCTATTTATTCTTCAAAATTGGGCGTGAAAAAACATTGTGATAGTTACCACATGTTTGTATTATTTTGTCTAATTTTATGGATAATGATGCATATCACCAAGACATTGTAGCACTTAAAATCCAGCAATATTAAAATAAGAATCTAAAACAAGGGCCTTTAATGTACGAATAGGTCAGTAATATAAAATTTATTCCTTACTTGACAAAATGTTTTCAGGAATTCTTTGATCACGTTTGTATATTTGTCCAATACCAAAAGGACATCCGCTGTAAGTATCTAATATTTCTTCCATTTTTAGGAGCTTCGAATTCTTGCAAAAACGAAAATTGGTGGAGTTCTTTTGATAAAAAAGGATGATCAACTTGCAATAACGACAAACGCTTTATTACCGGATTTTATCGAACCAAATTAGGCGCCTGGAACAGGGATGAGATTTATCGACTGGAAGAAGCAAAATGTTGTTCGTCTGATTTATCTTATCGAAACGAAAGAAGTGAATGTAAAAATGCGAATTGGTGGAGCTCTCTTGACAAGTAATGAAATGCGCACTAGTAGTTTTTCGATTCCAGCACCGTGCCCTAGATATGCACCTCACTATTTTCAGTGGCATTATTATACGTCATGCAGGTTTACATGCACTTGTTACTTATCCTCATTTTTGTTCTAAAAAGTGTACGACATTTTGTTTCATCTGCCCGGGTGTCGACACCAGTTTACTATTTTTAATTACAACCCAACTGTTTTTCCTACGGGCCAGAGACTATCACTTCAGGACGTCAGAAAAGCATTGAGTATTTTCACAAATTCCTTCAAAATGTATTATGAGACGGATATTTTAATCAGGCAAATATGAGTGGATTGAAACTTATCAGATAAAAGTAACTTTTCTGTTATAAATATCTGAACTTGTTTCAAAGATAACGTGGAAATACTGTGCAGCATTAGGGGGGTTTTCTTATAACATGCCGAAATGATGTCACAGTATCACGGCTGTTCAGTTTTATGTTAATATATTAGCTTATAACGTTTAGTAGGGTTTAGGTTAGAAAGATAAGGTTAAGATGAGGCTAATAGGCAGAACAATACTATATGTGGGCAAAAAAATTTAAAGCCTGATCGATTATATTGGGAAGGTACATATATAGACCATAAAATAAAAGCCTACTTGACATTATCAAACCTTCTTATGTATACATGCTTTTTGAAAACATTTTCAATTGAGGCCAAAATCTTGGAGTGTTTGTCCAGCGGGACTGTGCTTTCTCAATGGCCGCTGTATCGTACTGCAGGACAAAACTTGCATAACATAGAAGTAGGAAAATGTTGTAAACCTGTGAATCATCCCAAACGGTATGACCAATGTTATGATGAAAATATCAGATTCAAGTTTGATAGGAAAGGATGGTCAACTTGTACTAAGGCTGGTTTCTATGTTGTTGGAGTATATCGTGGAGCGGACTGGCTCCACAATATCGACCGACTGAGGTGTTGTAAAATGTTGAGAGGTAAGAATCTATGAATGCTAAAAGGAATATTTTTCTGCATGGTATATATACGAATGTTAAAAAAATATGAAATTAATTTAAACACCAAAAAGTAGCTTTGCCTGGATTTTATCACAAAAGTACTTAGATTTTGCTTTCCGCATGTTTATATTTACTTCATTAGGTAGTGTTTTATACAATTCCCACTGTAACTCCGAATCATATTTTAGGTTGACTTTATTAGACTGAAATAACCAAGATTTTCCGTTACATACATGATTTATACTGAGGCGGCTTTGCATGTGCTCTGCCTCTGGCAACTATGACACCATTGCGCTCCGCGGGAACGAACACGAATAACATGTTTTTTATCAAGTTTTTGAAGCTAAATTAAACGATATGTACATGATTACAATGTGCGCTGAAAATTACGGCTGAAAAGTGTAGAGGTATCATATTCTGTCGAAATAGCAGCGGCTAGCGCGCTCGGTTGGCAATTAGCCCGACATCGCACAAATCATTTCAGTTTTCAATCGGGAAATCCCAAAGGCCAAATCGTAGCAATTTATGGAATATTTCCGAACAACACATACACATGAAATGTATCGGTCTACCATTAAGGGGCACGAACATATACTAGGTCTAGGAGATAAAATAGCAAAATTTGATGCTCGAGCGTTGGCCACAATTATACTAGGCACAGCAGCGTAAAATTTATAGCTCAATATGTTTGTATCAGACATATGCAATCGACATAGTTATTCGCGACGTTCATGATAGGGACTATGTTTCCGATAGGCAAAACCATGATTGAACACCGTAGAGATTTTCGTAATATATTTTAATAATACATTCTAAAATGATTGGATTTGATTAGGTTACATTCAATAATACTTCATTAGGAAAATAAACGATAAACACATTACAAATGATCAATAAATACCTGAAGAGTGGGTCTCTACAGCTTGAAAGCACGCGCTCCTGTCATACAGACACAAACTTCTTATACAAACTTACTCGCTATCTATTATTGTTCACTGTCCGGTTACTATCAGTCAACACTTTTGTATCATATTACAGCATGCAAATCAGAGTTAAATCAGGTTATAATCAAATTGAAATAGTTAATAAATACTGTATAAATGGATTAAGAATTAATATATTTTAAGTTCAGCATTTCACTGTACTGTCCGTAACAACCCTCCGGGGCCACACTCAGGAAGAATCTTCTTCCATTATTGTACAACATTTCTGTACTGATCGTTTGTACTCTCCCGTCTTCGTCTTTACCTTCACGTTACGTACAATACCGTCTTTCCCGGGAAAAACCTCGACCACTCGCGCCATGTTCCATTTCCCTCGGGGAAGATTAGCATCAACCAACAGAACAATATCACCGACTTTGAACTGCCGTTCTTTACGTTGCCACTTCGTTCTTCGTATCAGAGTTTGGAGATATTCTCGCTGGAACCGACTCCAGAACTGCTGGACTAATGACTGGACAAACTCGAATCGCTTTCGGTAGGCTTTCGCTTCTCGAAAAGGACCTTGCGGGATGTCGGCTGTTGCACAACCAAGGATGAAGTGGTTGGGAGTCAGGGGTTGCAGGTCGTTCGCATCATTGGAAGGGTATCCAAGAGGTCGACTATTTACTAAGCATTCGACTTCCGCAAACACTGTTGACATCTCGTTCCAGGACCAAATTTGTTGACCAACTACAACTTTCAAAGCAGTCTTCGTTTGTTTCACCATGCTTTCGAACATTCCTCCCTGGTGAGGACTCAATGGCGTGTTGAAACGCCACTTTATCTTGTGGGTGACTGCGAAATCTTCAATTTCCTTTCTTCCTTCTTTCATCAACTTTCTCAGCTCGCTTTCAGCACCAATAAAGGATGTCCCATTATCTGAAATAATAGTCGTAGGCCATCCGTGACATGCTGCGAAACGTCGCAGGGCGTGTAGAAAGGCTTCGGTGGATAGATCTTGGACAATCTCCAAATGTATAACACGAACGGTTGCGCAGGTGAAAACAGCTCCCCAGCTTTTAATTCTCTTGTTTCTACCATACTTCAGGTGAAATGGACCAAACAGATCTACTCCAATGGCTGTGAATGGTGGCGAGAACAGCTTTAATCTATCAGGAGGTAGGTCGGCCATTAACGTAGTATAGGGATACTGTCTAAGTTTACGGCAGGTCACGCAATCTTTCACTATCTTCTTAACTAAATTTCTTCCTCGAACAATCCAGAATTTTCTTCGGACTTCACACAGGGTACGTTCGCGACCGGAATGGAATACACGGTTGTGGGAATCCTCCACTACTAACTTCGAAATAACGTGATCTGGAGGTAACAACATCGGGTGGTTCTCGTCGTAGGATAAGGGGGATTGGGTGAGTCTTCCTCCGACACGGATAATTCCGTATTTCTCATAGGGCGCTAAGTCTCTATAACGGTCTTTCCAATCTTCCAATTCACTTTGGGCTGACTTAATCCAATAGCTCTCGGCTAACTCGATTTCTTCCGGTAACAGTGGACCACATACACGTAGGGATCTTGCGTTGCTGATGAAACGTAAGCAATACGCTGTCACTCTGCAAAGTTTCTGCCAACTTGAAAATCTGGAGGCATCAATGATGAAACCTTTAACGGCTGGTTGCACTAAGGCAAACAAGGGTTTCTTAACTCTCACTTCGGGTATTTCGGGCGATGCTTTGTCGACTTCTGTGGGCCATTCATCAGAATTCTTTCTCAGGAACGACGGACCGTTCATCCATCTTCCATTCATTTCATGGACGGAAATACCACGACTTAGGTCGTCGGCTGGGTTGAGGTTTGTTGGAACATATCGCCAAACTGTGGGTTCCCAAGACGCTTGAATTTCTGCGATTCGGACACCAACAAAGGACTTGAGTAGGGTAGATTCTGAGCGAAGCCATGCGAGAACAATCATGGAGTCCGACCACAATGTTACTTTCGAAGGTTTAATCTTAAACTCGTCGTAGATGGTTTTGGCCAATCTTGTCGCTAATAGAGCTGCCATGAGTTCTAGACGGGGTATAGTTGTCTGGCGAAGAGGAACAACTCTGGCCTTTGCGGATACGAGGCGTACTTCTCTTCCACTGGAGGAAGACCAGACAAGATAGGCTGCTGCTCCGTATGCAAGAATGCTAGCATCAGCAAAAACGTGTAACTCTGGGGAACCAAATGCAGACGGCGGCTGAAGGCATCGGGGAAACTGCACGGTCTTCAAGTCTTCGATCTCTGTAAACAGCTTCCTCCAGGTTAATTGCATCTCCTTTGGCAATAAATCGTCCCATTCAAATTTCTTCATTTTCCAGATCTCCTGAAGTGCAATTCTTGCTTTAATTGTAACAACTGATGCCAGACCCAATGGATCGAATATTCTCGAGATGTTCGATAGGATGACTCGCTTGGTGTAAGGCTCTTTGTCATTTAGTTTCGCGTCAAAATTGATTGTGTCTGTATTTGGTTTCCACGAAACTCCGAGCGTTTTAACTCCTGGTTCTCCGTCTAGACTAACTTGATTCGCGTCGGGCGATTCTCGTTGAGGTTCGACAACCTTTAAATTTGTTGGTAATTCACTTCTTTCACGCAAACGTTCCTGTAACTGATCTGAAGAACAATGGCACTCTTTAATTTTGAAGCTACCGGTACTGAGTATTTTCTCTAGGTCTGTTATTCTCTGGAAGGCGTCGCTTACTGATGGGCAGGAATGTATCATGTCGTCGACATATCTATCTCGTTCGATAATCTTGGACGCTTCCGGGGCGGTTTGTCGGTGTTCTTTGGCCATCTTTAACATCACGAAACTGGCCATATCTGGGGAAGGTTTATC